CAGTTAAGAGAACTTTGGCGTTCCTTCTTATCGAAATTCTTTATTATCGAAACTTCCGACGACTGCGATCGATCCGTAATAAGACAAAGTTCTCCATTCTGTCGAGAATTAAGAAACATACCTAATGCACGATAATTATTGATCTAGAAGGAGAGAGAAAATAATATATTTAATCTAATTAAATCGAATCAAATCAAATGCTCATTTAAAGTTCTAACAATCGAACGTATTTATCAATAGGTAAATGTGAATAATGGATATTGTCGTTTGTAAACTACATAATCGAGTTACATTTTTCTCTATATATATAGAGAGAAAATATATATTTCTTATATATATATATAGAGAAAAATGTAACTCGATATATTAGAGAATATATATTTCTATATATATATATATATATATATATATATATTATATATGTATATAAATGTCAAGCGGTTAAAGTTACATTAAAAAATTTGATATCTTGCACGAGATATGAACTTTGAACTTCAAAATGTATAAAAGTTTACGAGCACGACTATTACGACAATTACGATCATGAATTTTTCAATTCGTTGGATCTACGTTTCATTCTTTTTTTTTTTGTTTTTTTGTTTTTTTGTTTCGAATTTTATATTTTTCAACTTGCAATTCATGGCTTGAAGATGATTGCGACATGATACGAATTTTCAATCTGTTATGTCTAACATAATTTTTGTTCTAATTTATTTTTCAAAATGAAAATCGCTATGAGATTGAATATTCACATCGTTGAATATTATTTTCTCCTTCGTAGTTAGAATTTTACTATTTAAAAGTCCTAATTTGATATGGATACGCAAAAATCCTTGAAAAATCAATGATCCAGAGTATCTGTCGTAAGATCGTCGAGGATATCGCACAATACCTTCTTTTTACAAGGAACATAGAAGAAGAAGAGCTCACAAAGCATCCTCTTGTTCGCATTCTTCTTTCATGAAAGAAGAGTATGAGTTCGGAAAAACGTTTCGAATAGCATACATTGCTGGCAAGCGTACATTTTGCGCGCGTTATTCAGCGCTTTTGCGTCACTCGAAGGTCGATCGGAAAGAAAGATGAGAGAAAAAAAAGGACGAAGAAAAAAGGGACGGAAAAAAAGGGCGAAAAAAAGGGAAGGAGAGAAAAGGAAAATAGAAAAAAGAATACAAGAGAAACTGGGGGTGGGGGGTGGGGGGGACTAATGCCTTTGAAACTCAAAAAGAATTTGAGTGATTCGTTAAAGATTCGACTAGTAGACTGACCATTGACTAACAATCAATGGAATCTGATTACCGTTATCACGATCGGGGATACGTTACCCTTCTTCTTCTTCTTCTTCTTTTTATCCTTTCTCTTTTTATTTCGTCGCGATACGTGACTCCATATTGCATGCGTGTATTACTTAAAAGAAAATTACACGCTGATACATCTAGATATGCTACGTTTCGTCGTAATAGGATATATAATGCCAGGCATCGCGTGATACTTGTCGTTGAAAACTGCATTTTTCCAAAGAAGAAAAAAAAACACAGAAGAAGGAAAAAAGTAATAGAAAAAAAAGAAGAAAAAGAAGAAAGAAAGAAAAATTTACAAAGAAAAATCATACTTCAATGACCCTGCAAAGAGATCCTTTTTTATAGGATAAGAAATTAATTTAATAAAAATACTGATGAATTTTTCTAAATCCTACGTACTCGTGTATTTTTACAAATATATTTCCTTCCTATCCTATCAATTTATTTACGAGTGGCATTCTCGATACCTTAAAAAAAAAGAGAAAAAAAAAAAGGAAACAAATTTTTTTACTCAACAAAACGAAATGAAAAATTTAATGAATTTTCCATTCCGCATTTTTCTACGGGGAAAAAAAAATAAAAAAAAAAAAAATAAAAAAGAAATCTACAAATTTGTTCATTATATATTTTTTTTCCAATAAATATTTCCTTCCAATCCCTATCAATTTATTTTCATTTGTACATTCTCGATGCCTTTTTGAAAAGACATACACGTTTCATCCCTCGAACAAAGAACTACAAAACTATAAACTTCTTTTTTCATAACAAATTTTTCAAATAAATATTTTCTTTAAGAATTCTCGTCGATTTATTTACAACGTTTCATTTGTACAAGTTCATAAAAAGGAGGGAGCGACTTCGAGAAGAGAAGATAAGGCGATCGAGTAAAGTGGAAAAAGAGGGAGAAGAAGTAGTCAAGAAGAAGGAAGAGGAAGAGGAGGAGGAGGAGGAGGAGAAGGAGAAGGAAGAGAAGGAGAGGGAGAGAAAGATTGTGGGTCACTCGAAGGCGCGTTCCACTTTCTCCTTTCTTCGGTTTTTCGTGGAGGTCCACGACCTCTCGACTGGGGCAACAAGGGAACGTGGGGGGAGGGGATCCAGTCGTCTTCAATGTAGCCCTGCTTTATTACCTCACAGGAAGTTATAAACCCGCTTTCATCGCATGTATCCATTCAATCAATCGAACGATCTTCGACAAATTACAAAAATTACATCACCTCGTAATCAACTTTCGATCGTTATGCCAGATGATCTTCTAACGTTCGAATCATTCTCGATCGACAAAAATGAAACTAATTTCAACGTAGGAGAGAACAAAATTATCATCGAAATGATCAAAAATGATTGGAGCAAATCATCACCGATTTTAAGTTTTGTTTCAATCATTTTTTTTTTTTATTCTTCTTTAACGTTAACGTTCATTAATCTTCTGTAAAAATCTTCTTTTACGTATCCAACTAATTAAAATATGATTTAATATAATAATTCTTAAATGTCGTAAAATTAATCTTTATATTATTTTAACCTTAATTTATTATATCTCGAAACTAACAAGTTTAATCTCATTTCTCTATTATTATATCGAATATTTCAAATCAGTTGTATTTTAATAAAGATTTAATTATTATCTAAATAAAATTAGGTATCCATAAATCAAGAATAAACATCTCTCTTTCTCTCTCTCTCTCTCTCTCTTTCTCTCTCTCTCTCTTTCTCTCTCTCTCTCTCTCTCTCTCTCTCTCTCTGTCTTTTCTAAATTCCTACAAACCATTTATTTTACTTTATCCTAAAAAATTGTTTCGTTAATCTCTCATGGTCGATAAGAGGAAAAAAAAAAAAAGAAAAAAGAAAGAGAGAGTGAGCGAGAGATAAAGTGAGATAGAGATACGTAGCCATGGATTTAACATACAATAGGGGGATGATTCGAGTTAAATAAATCGTAGAAACGCGAATGAGAGCCCCTGCGGACCATTACGAAACCAGAGTTTCGCGAGGTATACACGCGCTAATCGATTTTCGCGATCGGAAAGCGGGACCGAAAGAGAGAGAAAGAGAGAGAGAGAGAGAGAGAGAGAGAGAGAGAGAGAAAGGGAGAGAAAGATAGAGAGAGAGAGAGAGAGAGGGAGAGAGAGAGAGAGAGGGAGAGAGAGAGAGAGAGAAAGAGAAAGCTTTACGAGGGATTACTACGATTATCCGAATAATTACCCCCGGAGAGTTTTGGGGATCGCGGATGAGATAGACAACGAAGAGGGAGTGAGGAGTGAGTAGTAGTAGTAGTAGGGGATCGGTGGGGGTTAGAGTAAAGAGTCGTGGTAGCGTAGGTACGAGGACGAGGGCGGCAAATAAAGCTGGTCTCGCTCGGTGGCCGCATATAGGCGCCGGGATTCCCAATTCCATCTGTGTATTTAGTTCCGCCGTTTGTCATTGACCGTATAATCGAGATCAGCTTCAAAAAAAAAAAAAAAAAGAAGGAAGAAAGAAAGAAAGAAAAAAATTCAATACAAATGCTAAACATATTGTAGGATCTCCTTCGAAAAGATTATCACGTCTTTTACATGCTATACATATTAAATATCATTCATCTAAAAGCGAATAAATGAATGAATGAATGAATGAATGAAAGACGATTGTAAAAAGGATCATCCAGTGTGATTACATTGCATGTGTATGTTGTTAAATAACTACAGTGCATTTTGTAAGATCCTTCAAAATTTTTATGTCCTTTTTTTTGTAACCTTTAATCAATGTTATCTAAAAGCGAAGTGAGATTGTAAACAAAAAAAAAAAAAGGGGGGGACCCACTCTACTATCGAAACTACAGTTTATAGTTTTAGAACATGTTGTAAGATCCTTCGAAATCCTTATGTTACGTTTTCCGTTTCGTTTCTTTTCTTTTCTCAGTTTCACCCTTTCCCAATATATATATACTCATGTTAGAAAATATTTAGATAAAAGTGAAGTAAGATTGTAAAGAAAAAAAACAAAACAAAAAAAAAAACAAAAAAAAAGTGAAAAGAATCATCCATTGACAAGTATACGTACATACGTACATGTATACATTAGTTATCGATAAGATAAGAGGTGAATACGATATACTCTTTTAAACGATCTTATCATCTTGGTGCAAAGGTAATGGTATAGATCATAAAATAAATGCGTCATGAAAAAATATAAGGAGGGAAAGAAACAGAGAAAGGGAAAGAGAGGGAGAGAGAGAGAGAGAGAGAGAGAGAGAGAGAGAGAGAGAAAGAGGGAGTGAGTGAGTGAGTGAGTGAGAGAGATAGCGGGAGGTAGAGAAAGTTAGGACGAAGTGCAGGTGTTGAAGTAGGAAATATTTCAAACTAAAGCGATAAAAATCTTTTCTTCCCAATGCAATTTCCTTATCACTTAAAGATAAGTTGTTCCTCTTATTCGCGACAAACACATCCTGTTAGGTTGAGAAGGCTTTCCTCCAACTTCTACGAACCCTTTGATGCTTATCGCTTTCCAAGATTGTTCGGAGGGGTGACACGGTCTAAGGAACACGGCGCACGCCATAACGTTATGGGGAAGGGAGTAAAGTATCCTAGAGTAGCGATAGGAGAAATAAGTTAGAGAGAAAGAGAAAGACAGAGAGTGAGAGAGAGAGAGAGACAAAAAAAAGATGTAGCAAAAAAAAGGGGGAAAGGAAAGAAGAAAAAAAGGCAATAAAAGACGATGACTCACCAAGAGCCTTGCAACTTCCACCACGAAGGGAATCTCCTGCTAGCTGAATGATAGCCATGAGAAGATCGCCGAGCATCAAGCAAGCGACATGATGGGTCTGGCATCGCCAGTGCAAAACGTGATGAGATGCTGGTAACAGCCAACCAGCAGCCAAGGTGGCTGCCAAGAACACAGCGCTGATGATAAAGCCCACTGGATAGAGCGTGAATCTGATGTCTGTTGCTTGCACGTGTGGTCTGGAAAAAAAGAAACAAACTGTATAGAGATATCCACCAATTATCTCTTCGTTCATTTAATCAAATCTGACGTCAAATACATTTTTAGAACGTATTATTTCATTAACAAATTGTGAGATCATTTTATAAGGTTCCTTTTTTTGTGATCAACCTAACGTATTAAAAAAAAAAAAAAAAGAAAAAAAAAAAAAAGAAAAACAAAAAAGAGATCAAAAGAAATTAATTTATGATAAAGCCCTAAAGAATGGGGAAGGGGATGATGGGTGATAGAAAAGTGAACTTGACGTTTGTTACTTGCACGTGTCGCTGTCAAAAAAATTACATGGATATATTTCTTTCGATTATTCTTTCGCAATTAACAACCCTTATAATTTCGGACGACAAGTAAATCGTCGTTAATATTTAACTTACAGAAATTTTCATCGTTTTTCGTCATTCTATTTTTTTCTTTCTTTTCTTTTCTTTTCTTTTCTTTTTTTTTTTTTTTTTTTTTTTCTTAATCGGATCAATTTCCGACGTGTTCTAATAAATTAAATTAAATCCTTGAAAATAATAGATCCGATCAGGGCACGTATCGCACATATCCATTTGCTTAAAGAAATTCATTCTTGAATCGATCTAACCGAAGACAGATTATTCCAACTCCTTTCTTCTACGTTCAGCTTTCTAACGGGCTCGTAGTTTAATTAAACTCGAGGTAACTTTATCTCTCGGTATCAGCGACCGATCGATTGGCCGCGTGCCAGTATGGCATGCCAGCGAGTTATTCCATCGATCTTTTATGCCGAGGGATCGCTTTCTCTCTCTCTCTTTCTCCCACACAGAGAGAGAGAGAGAGAGAGAGAGAAAGAGAGAGAGATGCACTCGCTCTTTATCCATCTATCTCTTTTGCACGCTCGCGCGTTCTCGTTCCATCGAGACGTACGAATAATGCACCGTAATACTTCATCGCGTTTCGTCCACCGCATGCCTGATTAAATTTCGCCCTTCGCCCTTTCCTCCCTCCCTGCCTCCTCTACTCCACCGCATCGTCATCTTTCTCGAGACAGAGAGAAAGAGAGAGAAAGGAAGATATATATATATAGAGAGAGAGGGACAGAGAGAAAGAGAGATAAAAAGAAAAAAGGAACAACTCTATCTCAACGCATCTTTCTGACCTCGAATTATCCGTAAAAGTATTTACCAATGGTATTTCAAACACTTTATCGCGACAAATTCTTCGTGTAAACTCTTGAACAGATTATCGTTTCTAAATTGTTATATATATATATATATCTTTGTATGTATGTGTGTGTATGTATGTATGTATGTATGTTATTTTAGGATATCCTTTAGTAATAATCCTTGAGAAATGTAATAGTCCTTGGCAACTTCTTCCTGGAGAACCGTTATTTGTCTGAATGAATCATCCGGAAATGTAGTAGTCATAAGATGAATTCTAACAATTTTTTTTTTTCTTTTTTCAAATATCTCAAAACACGAATCCTTTCATATTCTCGTCTACTATAAATATCGTCTATTATATATGATCATTATGGAATTTGTTATATATTCGCATTACCTATTGTACGAGTATAACATCCCGGGCATAATTTCTATAAAAATAAATTCTTTTAACAAAATTATAATAATATCAAATATAATAAATGTTAAATAATGTACGAGTAGACTTTGATCATTATTTTCTCAAGAAGATAATAAGTATTTGAGTTATAGTAAGAGAGTATATATATATATACACAACACAAAGTGAAAGTCACGAAAGAGGCTGAGAAAAAGGAGAGAGAGATAGAGAGAGAGAGAGAGAGAGAGAGAGAGAGAGAGAGGGAGGGAGGAGAAAGCGTTTTGAAAAGATTCCGATAATTTCGTCACAAACGAGCACACAGAGGAAAGAAAAGAGAGCCTTTCGATTTCTCTTTATTTTCACGAAAAAAGTGAAATAGGTATTTGAAACGTTAGGAAGATGAATTATAATAAAGAGTCTGGACCAAGTTTTCACCACGGAGATAATATTTATGTGGATTGAAGGTTCGCGTTACTTCAGAATGATATGAAGTACAGCATAGCACAGTACAGCACAATATAATATAGCGAAGTACAGAGTGCAGCATCTGCGTTTCGCGATCGCAAATAAGGGTATAACGTATGCACGCTTTTTCAAAGAGACTTCTCTCGTTCAAAGGGGAAACGGAAATCGATCGATAATCGAAGGCTCTTCGCGTACATATCAACGGGGTATTGCCACTCTATCTTTCTTCCTCTCCTTTCCTCTTCTCTCTCTTTCTCTCTCTCTCTCTCTCTGACTCTCTCTTTCTAGACTCTTCGATGGTAATAGACGCAACGACTACATTCTCTCAAATCTATAATTTTCTCAAGTTACTTTCATTTATCACCTTTCTATGTATAAACGTGTCTATCTGTGTATGTGGACTTAATTGAGTCCTACGAACAAGTTTGAAAAACTCGCCAACTTTAATCAATTTTTTGCGTAATTCCCTCGACTCTCTTTCCTTTTCTTTCTCTCTCTCTCTCTCTCTAAGTTGAAACGTATGTATATATATATATATATATATATATATATATATATATATTTATTCTCATTGAAGACGACGAGGAGAAACCACTCACGTCGACTGCGAATTTTAACACTTTACATGTAAGATTATCTCCACATCCTTTCTAGTTAGTTACGTCATTCCTCTATTCTTTTGAAGAAAAAGTCGAACGCTCGCACGTTCCGAACAATAATACGATAGTTACTGGGAATATTCTGCTTATTGATAACATCTCCAAAGAGAAAAAGAGAGAGAGAGAGATATTACCTAAAATTTTGATATTATTGTCATACTTAGAGAACGATTCGATCGATTTGATCTACGTAATCGTCGATCCGTACAATTTAAAAATTCTTTGAAAAAAGAAAAAAACAAAAAAATAATAAAAAAAGGAAAGAAAGTATCGAAAGTATAAATTCTACGAGATCGATAAAATTTAATAAATAAATAATCGAACGATACTTCGCAATTATGCTGACAGTATTTTAAATGAACGATATTTGGTATATTTTTGTATGACGCGTTGTCTGAATAAACAACGAGTAAAAAAAAAAGAAAAAACATATCTCGCAAAGCTCTGTAAAACAGTTACGGGTTTAACATGTTACGTTTCACTCTTCGTTTCGTTCGTTCGTTCGTTCGTTCGTTCGTTCGTTCGTTTGGTGTCGAAGATGTTTCACGCATCATCGACGATGATCGGATATATAATTTTCGATATTAATATCCGTGAAAGAAGATATTGCCTTAGCTAGCTAGCTAGCTAGCTAGGAGAGATGAACATAGTGTTTCTTCTTGGAATAATATTCCGCTCGATCTACTAAGAAAATTTCTTGAAATCTTTAAAGTGCTAATGTTTACTTGAATCTCTCTCTCTCTCTCTCTCTCTCTTTACGAAGTAACGTCGAACCTTTCGCGGAAGTCGACGAGAAAGGGAGGAAGAGACGAAAAAAAAAAGATAAGAGAGAAGAAATAAGATAAAAAGTAAAATGAAAGGATAAAGTTAAGACTAAGAGGATAAAAATAAAATAAAATAAGAAAAAAAAAAAAAACGATAAAAACGCAGAGGCTGAGCACTCTCACCTTTGCGGTGCGTGTTCAGAGCAAGCAAAGACCTTGACCGCCTGGTTGAGTTCCTTGATCCTCTCGACGCAAAACTGGCCGCTTGGTAAAATAACACCGTCTACTTTCATGCTACCGTCCGACTGCAATACGGCATCTTTTACGTCGGCCAAGATCGTGTATTTGTCCCCCCGAGGACAAGCCGGAAATCCTGACACTATGTCCACCATTGTCGATGAGTCTCCCAATAACGGTGTCGTGTCTTCCGACTCGTTTACAAAATCGCACGATTCCCTGTTAAATTATTAAAATCCATTAGAAAATTGCGATTCCTCGACATCATTAATTACACCAGTAATAATAAAAATCTCTAGATTAATTATATATATATATATTTTTTTTCTTTTTTTTTTTTAATTCATCGAAGGATAGAAATTTCATGCGAAATTTTTTTCTAACATTATCTATAAATTTCGAAATTAATTATATCTCATTAATAGTTCTTTTCTATGAATAACTACGAAACGTTCGAAATTTCTTGCACAAAATTAGCAAAAAAGTGTACTGTAATTTTCATGCATTACAATCGTTTTCTCTTTAACGAAATCATTTCGATGGAATTCGAATGTAACCAATTCCGTTACTAAGCAAACGTAATAATACTTGCGTATGTTACTAAAATAGGTATCGATATATATCTTAATAATAATCATATGAATAAATAAGAAAAACAACAAAAATAACAACGAAAAATTATTTACATTCCTTTTCTTTGCCAAGTTTTCGTTTAAAGACGTTTCAAAGAGAACGAAACAAAAGAAATGTAAACAGAGTAGTCGACAAGGTGTTGCGACGTGTTCACGTAGCTTGACACAGGAAAGAAAATAATAATTATTTACTGCCTTTCGAAATACCGACGCAAAGAATACGAATGCCGAGGAAAAATAAAACAACTATACCGCGTGATAAATGTTAATAGGAATATTTAGACTTAGTTTTTATATATATATATATATATATATATATATATATATATATAATAAAGTTTATATATATATATATATATATATATATAATAAAGTTTATATATATATATATATATATATATATATATAAACTAAGTTATATATATATAGATATAGATATATCTAATATTTATATACAGATATTTAAATGATGTTCACGCACTGTTTGTCGGACCAATAAATATATTTTTTTCTTTCTCTACATAATTTATATTCGTTTATAAGTATCAAACATATTAGATGGAATAGATGAAAATAGAAATAAATGAAAATAATATTTAAACCAACCTGCCCTCGTGGAAAACGGCAGATTTTCCGCAGCAACGTCTAATCTTGGGCTTCATAGTCGCTGCGGCATGATTCCCTTCCGGGGTTTTTTTAACGCAAACAAAGATAGCATTGGCGTCGGCACAATAATCGTTAGGTGCGATCGGTTCTTCAACGTTTCCATCGACAATGGCATAGCCATCTTCAAGAAATATGAATGGTACGGCCGTTCTCGACGGTATTCTGGTCAAAACGGAATCGTCTCGACATTCTGGTCTTCTACCCTCTAAAACGTTCCATCCGTCTAACGGTTCGTTATATTGCATTTGCCGAGTCGGCGAGTAGATCTTTGGTTGCCATGCTGTCGTGCTTTTCCTGCAATCGTTAGTAACCTTCGAAACGCCATTCTCAACGGACACGATCAGTTCCTGATCGCGTGGGCAACACTTTAATATAGGAATACGCGTTGTAGTAGCATCGTTTGGTTCGCATATTATCGACGAAGTTAAAAACGATATAATATATAAAACGAGAAGATAATTATTCGTCGTTTTCATGATGCTATTTGTTTCCCTCTATTTTGTTTTTCTCTTCGAAGAAAAAAAAAAAAATCTTAGTCACAAAAAAGCGCGGGAAACGAGGATCATATGGGATTGTTCATAATTCACTATTATACACGTTCAATACCTTCCTACGAATATATATATATTAAATTCAACGAATGTTGCGTTAATAAATAATATGTGTATGTATGTTAAATGTAAGGGAGAAAAGGATAAACGAACGTAAACAATGTACACGCTCAACGAATTCCTTCGCGAAGGAGAAAAGCATAGGCTCGACGTTCGAAGGTTACGGAGTTACTGAAGTCGCCCGACCATGCGGCTTCGGCGGCGTGCTCGATGGATGCGCGCGCACCCCCCACCACTCGCATCCTTATTCGTGCGCGCCTTCTCTCTATCTTTCTCTACCTATCTATCTATCTATCTCTCTCTCTCTCTCTCTCTCTCTCTCTCTCTCTCTCTCTCTCTCTCTCTCTCTCTCTCTCTCTCTCTCTCTTTCTCTCGTTCGCTCGTTCTTACCCTCTTTTACTTTTGCCTCTCACCTACCACCATACCTTCGACCTTCGACCTTCGCCTTCACTTTACTCTTCTCCCCTCTCTTTCTTACGCCCTTCTTACGTTTCGTACCAACACCGTAGGTCCAGGACAAGTCTCCTCTTTCTACCGGAAATGCAACGGTACCATGCGTGCATATACATGTACATAAATATATGTATATACACATATTACACCTTACACACTAGTCTTACGTTTCACGAGATCTTTTTCTTTTTTGTCTCCTTTGCCTTCACAATTCTTCACCCCAGTTATTTTCAACTATATGATTTTATTATAACAGAAGTGATAACTGTAAAATTTAATCGACTTTACCTCGATCAATTTTGATCTATTTGTATTTATAGTTGAATTTAGCTTACAGCTTATTAACGATAGGATTCAAATTGCGAATATAATTGCTGACGACGACTCGACACTGTTCCGTATTTACTCTGCTTTTAGACTTCACAGGAAACTAAATGGTTAACTGTTATATGATTAGCTTCAATATGATTAACTGTTATAATACCGGTATAATAACTGATAAAATTAAATAATTAGTAATTGGAGAAACTGTTAAATAAGTTTAACGTTAAATTGAAACGTCATGAATATTACAAAAAAGAAATACCCTTATTTCACGTTTAATTATATCCTGTTACTTTTACGAATTTATGTAACTTATATTTTATAATAAAATAAAAAAAAAAAAAAAAAAAACTGACAATTTATGTAGATCATTAATAATGATAAATTATAAACAAAATCATATAATTGACACGTAATGATAAATGATACGCAACAGTGTTGAAACGTCGGAGAAATTATATTTGTAATTTCATGTTAATTGATATCTCCTATGTCATAAGCTGAATTCAATTACAAATTTATAAACGCACACATATATATATATATATATGTGTGTGTGTGTGTGTGTGTGTGTGTGTGTGTGTGTGTGTGTGTGTGTGTGTGTGTGTGTGTGTGTACAGAATTACATATATGATTAATCTTTCGATCGAGAATCTCAATCGAAGAGCGAAAGAACGCGTGACTAAGCAGGGATTCTGGAAGAAAATTCTACGTAGTAAATTTAAGCTACAAGAAAGTCTCGTCAAAATATACATGAATGGCCTTGGGTGGGGATTGATTATTATTGATAAAAGAAACATTCCTATTAACGAGTTATTCCAAAAAACACAATCGTGAATTTATTATGAGAATATCGAGTTTTCTAATCTGACTACGTAGAAATCGTCATTAAAATTGATTTAGATTTCGTATAACAATCTAATCATCTTATTTCTAATAAACGTCTAATAAAAAGATACTTCAAGGTAAAGAGAGAAAGGAGTAAACAAAATGATATAGTTCGCGAATGAGAGCCGAATACTTTGCGCGGAGCTTTTTCAAAATAGAATCCACCAACGCTTTAATATCGTTTACAAAATGTTTCCGGCCTCTCTCTCTCTCTCTCTCTCTCTCTCTCTCTCTCTCGCACGTTCTTTTTTTCTTTTTTATATATTTTTGTTTCTGCAAAAAATTTCAAGCAACTTCGTAACATTTCGTTTTCTATTTCTACGTGGGTGTGAAATTTTTTAGAGAAACTTTTTTCTTCACCTTCTCTTTTTTTTTTGGATTGTGCCAGTAAAAGAAACTTTGGTTATAAAAAAAAAAAAAAAAAAGAAAAAAAAATAGGATTTAACGTAAGTAATCGTTCCGTTTTTCCCTTTCCCTTTTTACCTTAGTAAAACGATTTAATTTTCAATCATCTTTTGTTTTAATCACCGTTTCGATCATGGATAATAGTTTGGAGAAAGTAACTTCTCTCTCTCTCTCTCTCTCTCTCTCTCTCTCTCTCTCTCTCTCTCTCTCTCTCTCTCTCTCTCTCTCTCTCTCTCTCTCTCTTTCTCTCTCTCTCTCTCTACAAAGTGTTCGCTGACTCGAAAACATCGTTTTTCTAACTCAAGCGGAAACCGCTTGGAAAGTTTTGCAAGCGTGTAAGGGTAGCAGGACTATACCAATTAAGCTTCCTCGTCGTTTCGCAACGGACGCAAATTGGAGATTTATGACTTGACCATGTATTGCAAAGCCCTACAGAGTCCTTTTCATGGTATTTTACGTGAAGAGGAGAGAAGTCTTCTTGGATAATTAAAATCTATGGTCAAGTTTACAACACTCTTTTTTGGAGAGGAGAAAACGAAACAAACAAACAAAAAAATAAAAAAAAGAAAAGAAAAACAAAAAAAGAAGAAAAAATCTTTCACAAAAACTAACTAAAAATTGTATATACTCGTGGAAACGAAAAAATTTTTTTATTATCCAAAAAGTCAGAATTCATTGTTAAATATATATCTATAATATCCAAAGATCTAATGTGAGTAATGGGTAGACAAAATATGGGGTCGCGGAATCGATCTAGGTACATAAATCACAAACCCATGCGTGTACTCGCATACGCAGCTCGCAAACGTACGTTTGTTAATAGGTTTGCACGTGCATGTCCCTAACGTAATGCCGATTTTATCTACCCTCCTCATAGGCCACGCAGGATTCGTCGGACAAAGGATAAAGACCAGACAGTTTGATCCGCGTTGATCGAACGAACGAAATAAACTTCCATAATCGTCGGTAGATTAATCGATTGAATTAATAGATCGGTTTAATCCTCGTTTTATCTTATAACGTAACGGAGCTTAAATCGAAAACGTTCGCTGACCATTTTCAAATTTGAAATGACTTAATAAAAAAAAAAAAAAAAAAAAAATAAAGGAAAAAAAAGAAAAAAAAAAGAAAAAAAAAAAAGAAAAAAAAAGAGAAAACAAAAACTCGTTGATGAACATTTTCCCAATATTATCCGATTTGAAAATTCAATATAGAGTAATTGTTAAGTTTTGTAATTATTGACGATAATAAGTATCCTCGTTAAGACCATTTTTTTCCTTCCGATCAATACTTGAAATCACCCTCATCACAGGCATGTATTTTGACTTCAAACTTTTTTGTACACACACACGCGCGCGCGCACGCACGCACACACACATATGCACACACACACACACATATATATATATATATACTATCGTATCAACAAGAAAAGAGAAAATATTTGACGCATGACGTGTAAATGATAGGATAGACGATAAGAATTTTCGATTCCTTCGTGATCCCATAAAAATCGTTTCTCCGTCGTCGGACTCAAGGTGTGTATATATAATACGCATCTGTAGCTAATCTCAAAGGTCTATAAATATATGATTTCCCATTTTCGAAGGGTCGGAAAAGTAATAGGAGGGTCGATCGATCGATCGATCGATCGATCGATCTATCGATCTATCGATCGATCGAAGTAAAAAAGAAACATGCAATGTCGATCCATTGGGTTTCGCAAGAAAGTTAACACGAGCTTTAGGTACTCATGTGTCGAAAGTATAACTCAGATCTAAGGCTTCGTTAAAGGATAATCCTTAGGTGAGTTCAACTTGAAAGACCGTACGAGCAATACTTTGCTAACCACAATGATGTCGTCGTCTTATCGAACTCTTATATCCGTAATATTATGCATTCTGTCGCGTGCAGTTAAACGCATCTAAGCGGACGTGTACAACGTACTTTACCTGCTGCCACCTTCTAGCCTCTCTCTCTCTCTCTCTCTCTCTTTAAAGAAACTTTTGTTACAGTAATTTACTTTATCTTTTTACAGTCATATTTGAAATCTTTGCTGCTTTTTAGAGAGAGAAAAAGAGTAAAATAGAGAAACAGAGAGAGAGAGAGAGAAAAAATAGGTACCTATTGTAAAAGCTAAAGTCAAAACAACGGTTTGTTTCAACACGATAGGCACGCGTGCTGAAAGGCAATTATATCGATTTTACCTAAAAAACGTAAAAATGTATGATTCAAATATTTTTCTAAATCCTCATGAACTTACGTTGAGTCTAACTCGTTATTTTCTGCTTCTGAAAAAGTCTATTTCTGAAAGATTTAATATTCGCATTTAAAATAATTTTTAATTTTATACTATTTTAACAATAAAACGAACAAATGAAACTTACTTGCGCGATAATATACAATGAAATAATTCTTTCATAAATGAGAAAACTTGATCGGCTTGAATTTAATCGTCAAGTCTCTTACTCGACGAACACTAGGGAGCTTTAAATAGCAATATTTCCGATGGTATTATGATAGAAATTTCATCGACGCCACAACGGTGATTGATCATTAACTCCTCGGTGGTCGACGGTCGGTGATTGAATTGGTGTTAACGATCAGGCCTTGTCGTTAATTATCCAACCTTCAATCTCCAATAATGACACGTGTTTAGTAATAAAAGAAAACAAATTTCTTTATGATTTCTTTGTATATGAATTAAATAAAAGAAAAAAGAAAGAAAGAAAACATCTATACATATACTTGAATATTTTCCATCATTGAAAAAATTTGATAATATACTTTAATATACTCTATTGAACTTCCATCTCCGTCATTAGGTACGTCTTGAAGAAGAGGCAGAAAAAGCTTGCATTGGACGAAAATACAATTTCTTTCTTTCTTTCTTTCCCTCCCCTCCCTCACTCTCCTTCTCTTCCTTTGTAAACTCAATTTTCAAGCTCGCGTTGGATAAGGGCAGGCCTTCTCGAAGCACTACCACCAGCACTACCCTCGTCACTTTGATATCGATGAGGGTAATTTACGCGAACATTGTTGGAGAAGAAGATTGATGCGTTGGGTGCGTGCGAGAGGACAGAGAGGGTGGTACTAGTGGGAGAGCTC